CGTGGCTAACAGGCGTGGGGTCTGCCTCTGACAAATGGCCTTTTCTGGTGACCCTGACTGTGCCCTCAAGCCCCTCCGGCCCTTCGTGGCAGCACATTGGGGACTCCCTCCCTCCTGGCCCAGGGGGACGATCATCAGGAAGGAGAACCCAACTGTGCCCCCCAGGTGCTAACTTTATCTGCTACATTCCAGCAGCCCTGTGAGGAAGTCACTGCTATCCCCTTTCTATAAATAGGGAAACTGAGGCCCAGAGCCGTGGTTTGCCTGAGCTCATGGCTGTGTGAGCCGGGTCAGACTCGGAGCTGGTCACCGTTCCCTGGCCTCTGTCGCCGAGGGCTGATTCTCGGCAGGCAAACCCTGGGGTGGTCTTCTCGGAAGACGGGTGGGTTGGTGTCCAGGACAAGAAGCACAGGCTGTCCCGTGACAATCCGGAGTCTGAAAACTGCATCCTGGCTCTTTGAGGTCACCCTTCTCAGAGCGACTGGCCGTGGTGGGTGTGACTCTGGCTGCCGACACTCGGGCCCTGGGGCTGGCAGCCAGGGGGAGACCCGAGGGGCAGCTGGGTCTGAAAGCAGCTGAGTAGGACGGGAGACGGCGCTCTACAGCTCGGGTGGCATCCCCGACGTGCTGGCACCCGCATGGTCACGGCGCACCCTGCTGCCTCTCGGGGCTTGGGCCTCCTGGCCAGCAGTGAGCAGACCAGAGCACCGTCCCGCAGGCCTTCCTGGGGGTGGGCAAGGACTCACTTTTTCTTTTTGTTTTTAAATATGGAAAAGCAGTGTAACCTAAGCAATGTAATGGAAGCTTCAGGACACACTGTCACCTATAATTCCACTACTCTAGGAACTATTTTCATTTTTTTCCAACTTTTAACCTGTGAACATACAGTGGTATATTCCGCTTCCCGATCGTACAGTGACATCCGTCTCCCTGCACGTCCCATCGTCGTGGGTGGCTATGCGGTATCCCGCCAGACGCCGTGCACGTGAGGATCGTGTAACTGGACAAAGATGTATCCGCACAAAGCCACGGTTTTCCTCCCCGTTTCTTCTGCTACTTTCTGTTTGTCTTCTCCCCTGACTTTTGCTTAGAGAAGGGAATTGTAATTTTGGAAAACTTATTAAGTATAAGCATTAGAACTCATTTCTGGCAGAAAACTCTACCCTAGATGAAGATCCTGTGAATGTCCCCGTGGGGGCCCCAGACCTGCCAGAGGCCCCCCCGGGGATGACGGCCACCCATCCCGAGAGTAGAGGCCGTCCTGCGCCGAGGCCAACGCTGTCCGTCTGTCCGCAGAGTTGGTCATGCTTCTGGAGTGGTGGTCGGGCACGGAGTGCACTCTGTTCACGGACCAGGCCACGGTGGACCGCTTCGGGAAGGAGCACGTGGTCATCATCCTCAACCACAACTTCGAAATCGACTTCCTTTGTGGGTGGACCATGTGCGAGCGGTTTGGCGTGCTGGGGGTGAGCCACGGGGTCCCCGGCCAGGTGCTGGGGGTGAGCCACGGGGTCTCCGGGCAGGTGCCAGGGTGAGCTGCGGGGTCCCCGGGCAGGTGCTGGGCGTAAGCCATAGGGTCTCCGGGCAGGTGCTGGGGTTGAGCCACGGGGTCTCTGGGCAGGTGCCAGGGTGAGCCACGGGATCCCCGGGCAGGTGCTGGGCGTAAGCCATAGGGTCTCCGGGCAGGTGCTGGGGGTGAGCCACGGGGTCTCTGGGCAGGTGCCGGGATAAGCCATGGGGTCCCCTGGGCCGGTGCTGGGGGGTGCCACGGGGTCCCCGGGCAGGTGCTGGAGGAATCTGGCCAAGCCCTCCAGCCTCTCCCAGACACTGAGCGCCGGCTGCCCTCCCTCCTCCCGTCAGAGTTCCAAAGTGCTTGCTAAGAAGGAGCTGCTCTATGTGCCCCTCATTGGCTGGACGTGGTACTTCCTGGAGAT